AAATTTTAGTACGGAATATTTTTATCACTAATTCAAAAATGCTTGTTCCTATAATCAGAAATAAACAGCAACAATAAAAAACGGTAAAACCATCGAAACTAGTCCTGTGAAAATTTTGAAAATATAACGCTGGTTTTTGTTGTTTGACTTCTGAATTAGTATTTATTCGGCGTGTTATTGTGTCTTAATTATAGAATACAAACAGGCTTATTTTTTGCTTTCGTTTTTCCACGTGGTTTACGTCGTGTTGCGTTTGTATGTGTTTCGGAGCCGAAAACGGCTTATTTTTTGCTTCCTTTTTTGCACGTGGTGTGGCCGCCATTTTGTGTTTGCATGGGTTTCGGTAAGTACGTTTTTGCAATTTTGAAGTTCTGTTCATGTTTCGTATATTTGGATATTGTGCTTTGCTTGTCTGATTTCATGTATTTTGGTTACAAACGTTTTGTTTTCTATTCGTTTCAATGAGGGATTTTTCTGCTGTTTTGTGTGCGTTTTATTATTGCTTAGTTAATTTAGTTTGATATTCTGCATTGTTTATCATGCCTTCATCCGTTAATCGTTTCACTAAATTACGCCTGAAATGGCAAAAATTCCTGAATAATATTGACTTTTTACTTAAATGTAAATGTAAAAAATTTATCCCCAATTTTATTCAAATCTAATCAAAAACCTTCTTGAAACCAAATCTAACTGCGTGAGAAAGAGCTACAATGCGCGAAATTCATTCTTACCCGGATATTATCATTTCAAAGGCCAACAAAGGTGGCCAGATAGTCGTCATGGATAAGAACACTTACATCGATGGTGTCACTAAACTCTTAAACGAAGAAACATATAGTCCGATCCCTAAAGATCCTTCACCTTCGGACTTGTCAAAAATAAAAACTGCGATCAAATCCTCACAAATCATTTCAAGCAACTTAAAACATTCACTTATCCCATCTGTTGCGAATTATGCCAGATTATATGCTCTTCCCAAAATTTATAAAAGTGGTATTCCTTTCCGCCCTATTGTATCAAATGTAGGTACTGCCTCGTCTCCATTGGCTAAATATTTAGTTTGTAGATTTTACACTCTATTAGACAATAACATTTACACCATAAAAATTCAATAGAGTTTGTAAAAAAGGTTAAAAACATTTCTCCTAGAAATTTACTCATGGTTTATTTTGATGTAAAATCATTATTCACCAATGTTTCAGTGGGGGGTGCATTAAGATGTCTAGAAACCAGACTTCGCGAATTTCATTTCTCTTGCATCGAAATTGATGAGCTAATTTCTCTTACTCAACTCTGTTTGAAACAAATGCATTTTGTTTTCCAAAGTAAATATTACAAGTAAACTGTGGGATTAGCCATGGGAAGCCCCCTCAGTCTCATCTTGGCTGAGATCTACATGCATTATTTATGAATCAAAATTGTTTGAAACTTTGAACTTCCGCGTATGGTTCCACTACATAGGCGATACTTTTATCCCTGTTGGAAGGTAATAAAGATGATTTAAATAATGTTCTTTCAACAATGATTTCCAGTGATTCCTGCTATTCAGTTCACTTTTGAACTTGAGACTTGCAATTATCTTTCGTTTCTCGACATTCTGGTCACACGTAATTAGCTATCCAAATTGCATGTATTTTACAGTTTACCGTAAACCTTCATCGGTTTGCCTTCCACCACACTTTAAATCATGTCATCCGACTAAACAAAAGTTAGCTTCATTTTATTCCTATGTTTTCCGTGCTCTTCAAGTTTGCTCCTCCAAACTAGCCCTTGATGAAGAACTAAAGTATTTAAAAGCAACAGCTATTGACAGGGGCTTTCCACCCAACATTATTAATCAAGCAGTTAAAAAATTCTCATCTCAACACACTAAAAGGCACAATCTTGTTTTAGGAGATTATAAAAAATTCTGTTGTCATTCCCTTCATTTCCATCAATTAGCTATAAAGTTGCATGTATTTTGCAGAGAAATTTAACTTTTGGGTTGTTTACTTCTCCCAATCAATAAAATTCCGAAGTTCCATACTCAAGGACCCCATTCTGGATAAGAATTCCTGGGGTTTTACAGGATTCCCTGCCAGTATGGTTTAATTTACATTGGCCAAACTAAAGAGAGCCTTAAAATTTCGCGTCAAGGAACATGAGCATATGTTAGGGAAAAAGGAAACACAGAAGGTCTTCTGTTGCTCCAGCATTGTTGGTCCGAAAATCACACTTTCAATTTTTCTGCTGCCAAAATTATTCAAAAAACATCTTCCATTGGAGAAGTGGATTTTCTAGAGGCATTTCACATTAAAAAAAATCTTTCTGTTCTAGTTAACGATTCTAATTCCAATCCATCTTTGCCTTCGGCCTTTAAAAAATTATGTTTTAGTTCTCGTTTCATCAACAGATGGCGCCACTTGCTTATTCTTGTCCAGGCTTTCTTATCTTATCTAATTATTATTTCCTATTTTGTTCATTTGCGGTTTTGCAGCTGAGGATGGTGGTTCGGTAAAACCATCGAAACTAGTCGTGTGAAAATTTTGAAAATATAACGCTGATTTTTGTTGTTTGACTTCTGAACTAGCAACAATAAGCTCAATATTTCAATTCTTTCTTTTCCGTAATGAAATCTCGTGGTCACTCAGTTGTGTACATCGTTTCCAGCTGACAGAAACACATAATTTCGCCGTCATTATCATGTTATCATTTAGTTCATTTTTACTTTAATATTCACATGCCTGCAGAAATCTCATTCAGTGAGATCTCAGAGAAGTTTATTATTTGACTCGTATCCTATTCACTTATACGCTATTAAGTTAAGCGCTTCATGTCTTTTGGACCTTCATATCTAAGTATTATTTACAATTTTGTGTTCCTGCTCTTCCCCTGAAATTATCAACAAATTTGCAGCAAAATTATATTTATCATTATAATATAAAAAAATTGCCTTATAGATCGTTAATTTAAAACATTAGAGCCTTCACGCAGTCAACTACAGCATGAAAAATCGAACAATAAATCAACAGAATAAAAGACTATTATATGCATTAGCCACAATTATATTAAACTGTAAAATAACACAACATAAATATTGCTTCAATAACAATATATAAAAAATCAAATCACAAAGGGTAATAGACAACTGACACAAAACGAGAGGGAAAAAACTGCCAGCTTGCACTAATGATTATGAATATGAAATATTCAAATTTAGCTGTTTTCAAGCTAAAAGAAGCACAGTATATAATATTTGTGAAATAATTGACAGCAGATGCAGCGTTAATTTTGAGTAAAATAATTGAAACCAAGTGTTAATCAGCTTCAACTTACATAATTTGCAAGCACTGAATAATTTTTGCCACGTAAGGGCAGACAAGCAATGATTAACTATTTAGATTTACCAACACCCCAAATTAAAAAAAAATTATAATATTAATTATTAATTTTCAGTTATTAGTTTTGCATTACTCATTGCATAGGTCTTAAACGGGGGTTACTTGTTTTGATTGATTGTGCTTACGTTACTACACAACTAATGAAGATAAATGTCGCTCAGTTTCCATTCTTGCTCTGAATTATTCCAATTTTGAATGAACACCTACATTTAGTTTTTCACAAAATATTAGGTGGCTAGGAGATTACTTCTTTCATCTCCATCAGTGAAATTAGTTTATATTTGATCAAAACTAGCCAACTTTTTTTTAATTTTTTTAGGGTTTTATCCCCCCCCCTTTTTTTTTTTTTTTTTTTTTTTTTTTTGCTATATCAGCGAAAGTATTTTACTGTTTTTCATTTTGTTCTTGCTCTCCATAAGAGAAAGCAATTACATGATTTTTTTTTCTTTTTATTTTATCTTTATGCGCTGTTGTTACTTGTAGCAGCTATAAGTAGGCATTAAATAGGTACTGGTATTTCATAACTACCTAAATTTTCGGAAAGTTTCACTTACTGTTTATGGTTGTATTTAAGCAGCACTTTTTTGTAAAGTATTATTAAATACATGAATTTCTAATTTAAAATAATTTGCTTTAATTCTATACTTACGTGATAAATGCATCAGGCTGTCTAATGATGTCAGTGTCGTCGTACTGCTCTGAATCCTTGTAGTTCTTGTAAAGTGAATTTATGCCAGTTGCGAATGCCAGCATGATGATGAAAAACAGCATAAAGAATCGAGCAACATCAGCTGTATAAATAAATTAAGTATTAAAAAGGCAAAATGATATTTAACAAATTCTGTTCATGCGTTAAGAAACACAAGATTGCATGCATAATCAATCACTAAACAACACACTATAAGTAGGAAAACGGTAAAAATTACAAAAATATTCTTTGAAGTTTAGTAAACTAAAAAAACTACAGACAAAGTCATAAGTTCTTAAATTGTGTGAATTAAAAGTGTGTTTCTTTCCAACAGTTTTTAAATACCACAAGAGCAGTCTACATGCTATAGGCTATTTAAATGAAAAATGCGTATGGATGTGCGGATCAGAAATGCAACAGCACAAGATGACCGAGAAAGAACGTGAGACAAGAGGATGTTAGGATAGAAGGTGAATATGAGCCTCGATTAAGAAGAAAGATGCCGCCGTAAAAAAACGATGAAGACGCAAAGATGCTCTACCTCCATTGTTACATTTCATCTGTTAAAACTGCATCAATAAATATCATCAAAATACATCAGTATATACCACAAATAGTTTAATTAAATAATTTAGTAAAGTGCATTCGTCTTGTCTCTATTCTAATCCCCTAGAACTCGAGAAAGATAGCTGAATTATGAACGCTCAAGAAAGCGTACTTTAGCAGACCATCGATTGTGAATAAAAAATATCAACATTGCCAATCTATGGACTGATGATGGACTTTTATGTAATTGCCTTTAAAACTCATTTGATCAATCCATGAAGAAGAAAAGATCAGATTTGCTGAAGAAATGGTGATTTTTACTCCACTATGCCTAGCTACAAGTTGCAGCTGCCGCATTGGCTGAAATCAATTACCGCATTGGCTGAAATCAATTACCGCATTAGCTGAAATCAATTACCGCATTAGCTGAAATCAATTACCGCATTAGCTGAAATCAATAAAAAATAGAGTATCTTCTTGCAATACAAGCTTTTGCACCATGCGATTGCTAGGCATTCTTAATAGCAATTTATTTATGGACTTACTCTTTAGATAAGGAAATAAAAATATCACAGTCACAATGTTAACATGAGATGTCACAAAACAGTTTATTTCATGCTACTGGATTCTTCATAAAACTCTGTAAAAAGTAATTTAGTGGGAAGAACTCTACTCTGAAAAAGTAAAAGAGCCGACAAAATAATTTTGGTTCGTAAAAAAATAATCCGCCTCAAAGTTTCAAATCAATGAGTCAAAGGTTTTCAGTCAGTCTGCATATGTACTACTGTATCGTTTAATTCGCAAGTGCTATACACTTGAACCCACTTTACGTAGTACACTGCATTACTCAAATTTTTAAAGCATTTGCCATTACTGAAATGCAGTCTTTTTTTTAATTCTCGATTATGTAATTTTAATTTATTTTATTTAAGATTCAATGCATATTTAGAACTTAAGGGCATAATACTAAAGCTTTTCGTTTAATTTTTCAGAGAATAAGATTTAATAAGAAAATGTTACGCATGGAGAAGAAAGATGAAAATACATGAAATCTGATTTTATTCACTTTCATACAATGTAGTAAATAAAAAAATTTAAAATTTTAATTTTTGCTCAAGATAAATGTTGTGGAAAGTGTAATCCCCTTATATTAATTCTTCCTGAATAGAAAAGCATAAATTTTAAAACAGTTTGAGATACTAGAATAAACATTCAGAGGACAAGGCTTGCAATTTGGTTGTGCAAGATATATGTAAGTACATTTATTTAAACGTATTATTTTCGCCACAAAAATATCAGCATTTTGAACTCCTGGGGATCCTTAGAATTCAGTTCTAATTCAATTCTTCTTAGTCTCCATTTCTTAACTGTTTAAAACTCACAACAATGGTAATTTTTCTGGTGCATTATGTGTCCACAGGCCAAGAGGATGAATTCATGTTGCTTAAAGAATATATCTTTCACAAAATCGAAAGGATTTTCTTTAAAAACCATATCGAGGTTCCTAATCATTTAGCTACATAAAATAGAATGCTTTAGTTTAATTGTTGCTGAATAAATCAAGTGAAACGCATCAAATTAAAATTATTTTCATAAAATGTCCAATAAAAATGTAATGAAAGTAACTTACAAAAACTAAAATAAAAGTAACTTGTAATTTATACTAAAAGCACCTTGTAAATATAATGAAAGTAACTTGTAAATATAATGAAAGTGACGTCTATAATGAAAGTAACGTCTATAATGAAAGTAACTTATAAAAAATAAATAAAATTAAGTAACTTTTATGAAAAATACATAAAATAACTTATTAATATTGCTGAATACAAAGCAGATAAATCAAAAGACAATTTGTCTTGTATAGGTAAATGAAAATACATACCGTATTTACTCGCGTATTTTCCAACTCATTTTAGCATAAGATTTTGAAATTTATTCAATATTCACGTAATTTCCCCCTTAAGCGTTCAGGAAGCTAGCTTCTCTAAATTTTAAAATAGATTCGTGCACTGTATGGATTGTTTTCGTCTTTCTAATTAATTTGCTCGTGGATTTTGGGTGCATGGGGTCTGACTGATGAAGCAACAGTAGTGAAGATCTTCAACAAAAGGAGAGATATCTAATACTCTTTGTGGTTTTGAAGACCACAAAGAGTATTGGCATTAGACCACAAAGAGCATGTGGGAGATAGACTGAACGTTGACGGTTCCAGCAGCACTAAATAATTTTAGGCCTAAGATATAGCAGTGGACAATAATTAGCGGAGCGAGATTCAAAATCCAGAGAAGTAGAAATGATATCTTATTAGATATTGTAATGTTAATATTTCTATGTATTCTGTTTACAGTGTAGGTTTCTTTTAAATAAATATTACTGTGATAGTTACCGGCAGTTTTCAATGAATACTTTCTATTTGTTGTGCCTTACTGTAACCACATCATCCGAAAATTGAATTATTCGTAGAATTTTCCACTCTCAATTTTTATAAGACAGAATTAGCAACAAAACGAGGAATATATGCGAGTAAATACTGTAATTAAAAGAAATAATTTGATTGCAACTTTTTCTTAAATATCTAGATAATTTCAAGTAACAAACACCTTCAAAGTGTTAGCAAAAATAATTACTTAGCATATACTTTATTGATGTTCCCAGCGGTCCTAGTCGAGAGTTGATATGGAACCATAGCAACAGTCGGCTAAATGCCATTACAGATGCAGCTGCATATATACCTTCTCCTAATAAGATGGGATGATACCAGTCCCAACACATACGATTAGAGTTGTGGGTATCATTATCAGAGAACAAATTGTAAATGAAAACGCTGAACCACAAAATTTCAGTCACCAAAAACATTGAAAACATCACAAGATCGAATACGGCCCAATATGATCTGAAGTAATTCGAAAATCCTACAGATATTAAGTTTGTAAGTATGTCCCAAGAATGACCGAGCACAAAGCACCCAACAGCCATTTCCGTCCAAGTTGCAGGTGAATGTACATCATACCTAGGAAAAAAAAGATATTTACATAATTGTTAATTCATTAAAATATCCATACAAGTAAATCTGTAATTTAATTCAAATTCAGCACAATTAATTTCTCTCATATTATGCATACGCTGGTATCCAAAAGTTAAGTTCGGAAAGAAACTGACACATAATAAGCTTATCCGTGAAATTTATTGAGTAAAATCCATTGTCCATGATATAGATATCAAATGATGTGCTCGAAACTATAAGCACTTCATATGTAAATTAGGAGTGGGTGTAAATGCACTTAAAATTTTAGTCCTCAAGAAAGTTCCTGAAGATTTATTAGAGTTCATTTTCGAATGCACTAACTATTTGTATGACACAAAGTATACGTTTTACTAATTCTAAAAGAAATTTTGAGTACAGGACAGTCAATAAAGAAAATCATGAGTTTCTTATCTCTGGATCATTCCGTCACTTCCATGAAAATGGGACAATTATTAACTTTAGTATATCCATCATATTTGATTTAAAGTGTTGGCTTCTGTAAGCACGAGTTCAGACTCCTACCCAGTCTTTAGTACTAACTGCCTTATTCCTGAGTGCCTCGTTGTATGGTACTAGTGCTCTTGCGCGGCATATTGGTGTGCTATTTAGTGTGTGTATGGTGGAGCCACGTACATGAACACTTTAAAGTAACTAACTTATCCAAAGCTACTTCATATGTAAAATGCACCAGGGTAACTTATGTGTGTTTATTTATTTATGTATATATGTATATATCATTATATAATTGGCTTGTAACCAAGAGTAAAATGTTTAATTACTAGTGTGGAATGTTTATGTACGTGCAACAACGTACGCATGTGCAAAACAAACATTATTGTAACATCTTATTCCCAGTGTTTAAACCTAGATGAACATAAAATGCACCACGTTAATGTTTAATTATTAATGTGTAATATTTATGCAACAGCTGCAGTGTGTGCATCAGTATACAATTATTGTATTGTATAATGTTTAAATATCAGTTTAAAATGCCCAAATTTCAATATACATCACCAACAAATGTTTCTATTAACCCTTTGCGACACACCTAAAAATTTCCTTCTGTACGCACAGAAAAATTTAAAAAATGAAGAAGGATTTATAAGTTACTATAGATTACTCTGAACCTTCTTTATTTATAGTACATGGCAGCTCAACACAAAGCAGTCCATATATTTTAGCAAGACATTCAATTTTAGTTTAGTAAGACCCTCCTTTTTCAAAGAAATCTTCCAGATTTTTTAGGGTATAAAAGGAATTTTGAAAGTTGAAAGGAAATTTCTATGTTATTTTTTTTTGGCTGTATGCTAATCTCCTTATTCTATATTAGTTTTAAATTTCATCTAGGACAACTGAGAGTCTGTCTTTGTTTCTCCGCATCTCATAGGTCAGTTCATTGACAACAATGCTCGTTTCAGCACTCTTTTCGAAGCTCTATTCAATCAGTGTGCCACTTTGGGCACGCCCACAAAATTAAAACGATAAGTGCTATCTTCAGAAAATTTTACTTGTGTACTTCTCTAGGCTTAATTAGACTGCCTACCTTTTTTTTTTTTTTAATCAAAACCCCGACTTTAAAAGGTAGCGTACCGTGTGTACCACGTTAAACGGTTAAGCTCCTGACGCCGGGTTTCTAGGGGGCCAAAGAATTATCGCGTTGTACAGTTGCGGATTCCGTACGATACCCGAATAGTCCTAGTAACCCGCCCGGGTGTCCGGATCCGCTCTCCCCTGTCACCTGTAAGCACGAGTTGGTGCCATCTGTTAAACTTTATTTGGATTAACACCCTTCTCCTCTGCGGTACTTACAAAACGTAGCAATGATTCGCCACTTGTCTTTCAAAGTTTTGGTTTAGTGTACGCTTCCTAATAAGACCAAATTCTATAAGATAGTTAATTAACCTAATATAAAAAGTACCTCAGGTGCTGTTGCTCTACATCAGGGTTTCTGGATGAAAAAGCCCAATGGGATGCTTTGCATGCTGATATTAGAAAGGTCAACAAATAAGTAAACTTCTAAAGCAAAATATCGTACACTTTTTTGTGTAACTAATCAGAAATGTCAGGTTTTGAACATAGTAAACTACATAAAATAAAAGATATATTCAGAAAAGTCTGTGAAAAAGTATTAGTTGTTTTGCTGAGAGAGTAAATGTGTTTTTTATTTAAAATTTTACATGTCATAACTTATGCAAGAGTAAATATAACAAACTACGTTTCTGTTCTCGTTGTCATGATATAATATCGTAGAAATATGGATCCAAAAGAACTAATACTGTAACCTGCAATATTTTCAACTTAAGAAAGGGCAGGGTTTTTTTTCGCATTTGTTCACATTTATGAATAAATTATATTGTGTCAAACATCTTTTCCAGACAAAATTAAGACTCTATAACTTTACAATACAGCTCTCATTTAAGAGCTATTTATTACCCGTTTAATATTTTCTATAATCTTCATTTTTATTATTTATCGGTCTCGCCTTTTATTTACCGAAGATGTGATAGTTAAAAAATACAAAAATGCAAAATCTGTCACGTTTAACTTAATCACGGCTATTTTTGAGTGAACTAGGCATTACGGAAAGAAACTGAAATTACGTCACATAAATAATTTTGCAATAATCTTAAAACCTCCTTCATTCATTTGCCTTATTTTTAACACAAACTTAACATATTTATATTTTAAAAACTATAGAAGAATTGTGTCAGTAATAATTGCATACAAACCTTCTATCATTAAGCAGCGTAACCATGAGTAAAGATAAGAAAAATATGTAAGATGTAGCGAAGTAGATGAATCTGTTCAAGGGTACTCTTAAAGGCCCAATGATCTCAGCCCTGGGAATAAATATGAAAGCAATGGAAACAACTGGTGTTAAAACAGCATGTTTCATCACATAGAACGCTCTCCACCGGAAAGGCCAACTGTACCAAGAGCCTACCGTTTCTACCCACAATGATCGCAAAACTTGTTGGCAGCTCGGATGTGTTACAAACTGAAAAAAAAACTTAAATAAATAATAAGCCATTAATATTCGAAAATCAGAATTTCTAGAAACTTACTGCATATGAAATAAGGCTTTAGTTTAGAATCAATTTTTAATAAGTAAGTTTATGCATTAAAGAACAAAACGTCAGTCATTTTTTAAAATTATGACAAGGTATTGAATTCAGTTGTTCAAATGATTGGAGATCACACCGAGTTCTAAAATGTGTCAGCAGAAGAGAAAACATCTTTCATTTAAGACGCTTCCACTAATCAACAAAAAATTTCCATTACATCTCATCCCTATTAATAAAAGTTTAAATAAATGCATTCATTGGTTATAAATTTATAATCCAATACAAAAATGACATTTTAAATAAAAATTCTGATTTAATAAAGTGTTATATACAAATCATCAAGTCATATTCATTTCAAAAGCTTTAAAAAGCTTACTCATGTAATGGCAATATGAATTTCAAAGCAAGGTAACAACTACGTCTATTTAAGTTTGTTTTCTTTAGATTTAATACGTTTCATAATGATTTAATTTGCATTGCTAGTCCATTGCAGCAAACAGTTGAAATTCTTTCCAGTGTTTATTTAGATGATGGTAAGAATTCCACCATTCTACCGTAAAATGGCTTCCACAGTATAAGAGAAGTTGGGGGACATAATGCAAAGCGTTTGGTATAGAAAACTGTGGTATGTGTGTATGAGGTGCGCCGGAAAATGAAGTTCTTCATACCAGTGGGCAAGGCAGTGGGGATAAGTCCCAAAATTTTGAGACTGTGGTTCAGTACTTTTACAGAAAGAATCATTATTTATGGAATAGCTATCTAGGGAAGTGATCTCAAAAACTGCATGATACAGCAACTCCTGACAATACAGAGGATGCAATTTCTACTAATCTGTAAGCGTTATAGAACCATTACTACTTCAGCTCTCCAGGTGCTTGCAGGGCTTCCTCCACTAAACCTGGTAGCGAAAAGGGAAGCAAAAATACCTCTGGCTCTCTAGGATGAGATAGATTCAGAGCTATAGGGACTTAGTCTCATTCACTTGGACTATGAATCCAGACACCAACAGTTAATAGGACACCCAGCACAAATAGACTTGACACATTATACCCGCACAACGTATCCATCCCCAATCGAGAACAATAAATCTATATACACAAAACAAGACGGTTCCAAAACCGAAAGAGGTAATGGCAGTGCCTTCCATAATATGGAAGAAGGCATATTACCTATCTCTGGTCGAGATGATTAACCTTCCGGCACGCGCGCTATGCACAAAGTTTACTTTTCGCATATCGCAGATGAGACATCTGAATGTCATTTTTATTCCTCTTTTCAACCCTTCCCCACATCATAAAATGTGCCAACAGGCTATATCATATGACTTTTTTTGTTTTTTTTACTGGGCTTTTGAGCTACGTGGCAGCTTCATCGTAACAGCTACGACACGCGCGTGGTCGCGGGTGAAAATTCGGAATATATTTTTTTGTCAAATATTTTCTAATTTTGTGTTAATAATTGACTGTATTATTTTAAGTTGTATAAATTCGACTCTATAATTTTTATATCGGTTTTTATGGCAAAATAGTATGTGCTACCAGCTGATTTTGCTCGCATTCTTCAAGAACTATCCGATGAAGAAAAAGAAGACAAAAAAAAAACCCTTTGGATGTGATAATAATCGCAATCTGAGTGAAGAAAATATAGAGATAAATAATATCAGCACTGAATCTAAACAATAAATTTCGAATGATGATAGTAATAATGATACATAAAAAAGGAATAGTGATGATATATTCTATGTTAGTAAGGATAAATCTTCTAAGTGGCAAAAACAGAAGTATGCAAACTGCTCAAAGACGAATAAGATGAATATCGTGAGCGTTACCTGGCCTAAAACACCCTGCCAAGGATATAAAGGATGAAACGAGAACATTTTTGAAAAGAGTTGATATAAATATGCTTGATGAAATTTTGGAATGTACAAATAAATATATATAAGTTCACTAAAAGGCAAAATACTCAAGAGACTCTCTATAGACTCCACTGTTACCTGAGTGGAAATCATGGCCTGGTTTAGATTATCAATGATATTATTTGTTATATATGATCATATATGACAAATTGATATATGATAAAATAAAAAAAGGACACCATGTAAATGCAAAAGACTTTTTCTCAAGTGATGGCATTGAAATTGAAATAACAAGAACTGTGATGAGCTGCAAAAAATTTTTATTTCTGACAAGTTGTCTTTGATTCGATGATAAATCAACAGGACAGAACAGATGAATATTAAAACTAGCTTATATTTTAAAATATAGTTATTAAATAATAAATTTTTAAATTTCTATAATAAAATACATCATTGGTTTTCCACCTGACTAATATAAGCGTTTAAAAATAATTTACTATCATTTGTATTTTGAAATAATAAGGTTAATATTTTATGTTTTAACAAATTTATTATCAACATTCACTCATTTCTGTCATTTTTCGTGCCAAAAACGGTAAAATAACAGATGTCGTATTTGCAACATTCCGTAAACAATAGTTCTCAGTCATATTGTCTGTAATTACCTCCATTCAGGGTTTCTGCAGTTCTGTTTTATACCATTCTAAAATAAACACTCGCTTTTTCCATGCCAAAAGCTATTGACAATCCACTGTTCTGTTAATAATTTTCCAGTATGTTTTTTTTTTCTTTTCGTACAACTATGTGTACGAAACTTAAGTTTTATAAGAACTTTTTTTTTACATTTTTTTGTATAGGATGCGATTCTTTTGAAGTAAATTCGGGTTCTTTGAGTTACTTTGTTTATAATTTTCACTTTTGGTATTTACTTTCGTTGTTTTGCTTCTTGAAGAAAACAAATTATCTAAAGAGTGCGACCAGCATTACCTCTAAGTATCAAAACTTCTTAAAACCCACAAGGGCTGTCCTGTCTAGGGAAGGAGGCCTTTGTGGAGAACTTGCACGAGATGAGATACGCGTTTTAGATATTTTAATGTATATTGGAGAGAAGATAATAGCTTATACTTGCGTGAAAACACTGACAAGAATCTTATCAAACATTATGCTTTGCTGATTTACAAGTTACCATTCAATTCAACGATTTGTTTTAAATGCTTGAAAATAGATCATCCAGCTATAGATTCAGTATGTTCTATGTGTTAAAATAAGGACTCGTGATATGAACAAATTTGGATAAAACATGTAACAGAAATGCTCTAGATCTTTTTTAAAGGATATTTCCGTCTCCTTATTCAACATCTGATAAATGCTTCCGAAGAGAATCAATAAATTCATTCGGATACACTAATCAGTCATCACAAATAACAATTTTGTGCGCATAAAGGAAGTTTACGTATTTTTAAAACGATATCGATAAAGAATTTTAAAAAAGCGAATATTTTGGAATTCAAAACTCTGAGCAATAGCTTATTATTTAAAATGAAATATATCGACTGTTACCTTTAAATTTATTCTTCTTTCAAAATGTCGCATGCAAACAAGCTGTAGCTTGAAGGATATGTTTCTGCACTTTCCAAAGGGAAATATTCCTATTCCATAATTCAAAAACGTTGTAAAATGCATGGTTTTAAAATCTCTAAGGAAAAAATAAGCAACATTATTAACTGGAAAAAACACCCGTCAAGCATTACTTCTACATTGGAATACGACTCAATAAGTACCCGAAAATCCGCCGAAACAGAAATCTTTAAATACATCTGTAGCAACAATAAATAAAATAATAAACCAAGATTCACAATTTAAAAACGCTAGAAAACAAAGTTGGCCAGCTTTGTGGCTCAAGGAAGAAAAATTTGTAGAACACTGTATGAAAACTATTCAGTAGGAGATAAAATACTACATTGTGCCCCTTGATGAAGCATGAATTTGCATAAATGACTGCAATAAATAAAGGTCTATTTACTATCGAAAACGAAGCGAAAAAACATACAAACCTGATTCCGTCAATGCAGAGAAAATTTTAGTAAGGGGTTTATGATTCTCCGAAGGATTCTCTTACAGTGGGAAATTAAAAATATCAAGACTGGAAAAAAATGCGCAAATCAACTAAACAGACTATCAAGAGAAAGTTTTACGTCAGATACTTACAGAAGTTGCATTTCCTTATTTCAATAGCTTTCAAACAGTGAAACTTCCTCAAGACAAAGCAACGAATCATACTTTGAAAAGTATCGCTGCATTCCTTAAAAAAATTAAGACTGATACAGGTGTTGCTTAATCACCTTTTCAGTGTATTCCTGTAATGTCACCTTACATTTCACCTATGGACTGATGTGCCTTTGGTCTCTTGAAAAGAGATCTTTCTAAGCACAAACCCACCACGATTGATGGACTCTGAAAAGTAGTGGAAGAAGAATAGAAATCAGTATCCCTATAAATTTTACGAAAAGCCCTTCTATCATGGAAATCACGATGCAGACTTATAGTCCAGAAAAAAAGACTATCAGATCGAACATTTTAAAATATTCTCTTTATGTTTTAAACATTAATTAAATGTTCTAAAATTTCGTTCGAAATTGTTCTAAAAATCTGTAAACTCGTTCTGTTTACGTGAGTTACGTTACGTGAGTTACTTCTCTCCACCCCTTATTTGAAACTACAATTTATTATTTGTTATGGAATAACAGCTATTTCTAACATTTAAGATATGCCAGATATCGTAATGAGATGTTTTAAATGCAAATAAGCAGCTTCGTATCACATAGTTCAAAGCGAGAAATTAATCAAATGTTTATAAATACTCGCTAGAGTGAAGCATTTAGCAGCAATAATTTATGGGAAAAAATTTTTAATTTTGTTTAATTTTATTTATTTATTTAATATTATAAGCTGCAGTTTTCTCCAAAAGCAGAACAATTTGTTTTAAGTAACTAGCCCGTTATTTTCTTCCTCACAATATTACATATATTTCACGTCATGAAAGAAATTAAACTAAAGTTTTTTGTTGCATTATGAATAGTGCTTAGTTTTAATAATTTTCTACTCGTTTAAGGCGAGAAGCATCCCATTTTCGTACATAATTTTTGTATTCGATAAATGCCTTCTTTTGCCATAAAACACTATACGTTTAATTAATATTGTTTTAAGACTCACTGCTTTGCTATATAAATAACACAATTAATTCTTCCCTTCAGATCCTGTACATGAATAAAGTTAACTTTATGAATGAAGAAAATTAACTATAACTATACATTAACTTTTGAAATAACATACGCGAGCTTAAAGAAATTTATTGTAAAATTTTTCAGTATTTTAGAAAGTAATTTTGTAATACTTTCTGAGCTCTCATTATTTTGCATTTAAAATTTTTATGCAAATCAATATTAATGCTTTATGTTCAGATTTGATCTTTATCAATTTTTATGCAAATCAACATAAATTTGATTTGCATAAAAATTTATCAAGATCAAATCTGAACATCAAGCATCAAACTGAATATAACTATGTGCTTTATGTATTATGATGCTTGTATAATAATATTAGTAAATGCGGATACATAAATCAATCGCAAACATTTATCAGTGTCAAATATTTTTTTCTAATTTAAATTGTGCATTCTGAACGTTTATTTCTGAAACCTGAAATCTGAAATACTTTAAAAACTGTTACTGCATAAAACTTAAATTTGTTATGATTTAAAAAGATTAATGAAGCACTATTATACTTTCCGTAAACAGCAACGTTACGACACTTATAAGATTTTAAACACAAAGACTTAATATTAATTAACTATTAAAATGAAGCCAAAATTAACATTAAAATGAGGCTAGCAGGTAAAATGTTTCATCTTTCACATATTATATATAAATCTCTAGAAGAGCATCGTAATGTAAATTATAAGATACTACCTCCTAAATCAGTTGACTAATTTTAAAATTTTCACTTACTTCTTTCTGTTCCCACTGCACTGCAAGATGAAGCCTGCTAAATCTATGAGGCCTGGGATCTTTAAGTCCTCTCTTCTGAACCAAAACTGTTTGTACCTCTTTGGTGTTTCTGCATTCGTTAAGTATATCTGCAGCGAATTTTGAGCATTGGCTTGAAAGTTCTTGGTATTCTTTCTGTAAACAAAAACGCCATTTCGGTTGGAAATTTTACACAGAAATATAAAAAAGTTAAAGGTTTATTAAAATTATGCAGTGCAGCTTAAAGTTATTTGCATTCCCTTACTGGCTTTCTGTTTACATACACACAGTGTATAACACACTCATTTAGTTTTACATATTTCACATGTTAAGATTTTTTTAATTTTATTTTCTTCTGTCTCAGTTACACAACTGAAAAAAAAAATTGACAATTTATACATTATTCCAGTTCTTATGAAATTTTATCTCATTAGTTTGAGCTGACACTTCCCATCCCTCTTCTTGGCAATACACAATTAAATACGCAACAATACTTAAGGAGCAGTGTGTCCCCGAAGATTTTCAAATGAAATAATAGATAGCAAATCATACCTGGAATAGACTGTACTACTCAAATTATGGTGAAGCACGCGAGAACTATTTGATGATGGGAAATGATGCCTTCATAAAGGATCTTCTACGGGGAATCCGACTCCTATTCACATGAAGAAATCACTAAGCCTCACATACAGCCAGTCCATTCGCCAATATTTTGAACCAAGGCCGAATAACCAGAGTTAGCAGATTTTATCGTCTGACCGCTGACTGGCCCAAATCGAAACCGAAATTTAGCAGTGTTGAGAAATTTGGTTAGGTGAACTTTCAAGTAGCTCTTGGATAGAAAAAGGTAAATAAAATAGAAGCAACTAAAGTTTTAGCAGCATTTCGCAGACTTTTCTTTTTTACTTTCTTAACTAACATCTATGCAAATCAACCATAAACCCTACACGTGTAACTATCATTAACGGGAAAAAATTAGTTGAAGTTTTACAAATATGTACCACTACAGTTTTTATTTTTTACATCTTTTGTTTTCCTTGCAAACACATATTTCTCCGAATTACTTCATTTGGCATTCTTTTTTAACTATTTATTTCGTACAACCTGATTTAAATGATTAATAGCTTATAATTTGTGTAGCGCAGTTTAAGTCTCAAATTTAATTCAATGAATGATTTGTGTCTTTAAATTTATGACTTTTCAATTAAACACAGACTTTCTTCCACAAACGTATGTGTAAACGCATCTTCATAAGTAGCTAATAATAAAAATTAATTAGGTATAATGATAATTTTGTGCTTAACTCGTATTTTCAGTTTTTACATGTCAATAAACATAGCTATATTTTCCATAAATAATCTTTTCCAATATATAATTAGTTATTCTTGTAATTTATTAACAGTTTTAAGATAATACGATGGTAATATCAAAATAAATCATTCAGATAAATCAGAAATGTGTAATATGTATTAGGGCACAAATGTGTAACGTGCAATCTGGGCCTTCGTTAGGGCAGTCAGAGCCACTAACCACTTTTCTGTCTCGGCGGCATTCTTAAATATATAGTATTAATTAATAAACACAAAATTTTTGAAAATGACCTTTTCGAGCATTTTCATAAATTTGGCAATTTACCTTGATTGTCTATTACCTGACAAACCATTGAAAGATATGCAATTCATCTATCAAGTTTATAGAATATCAAGAAAGAAAAATATTGATATAAACATATTTAAACTTTTAAAAGAATCAGATATATAAAATTGTTCAGGAAATCGACACAATACGCAATTAAATCGAAATCCAGTTAACCTTTACAGAATTACTGAATTTGTCTCACCTGGTTTTCCGGTAATTCTTTCGAGAGTTTTATCAGTTCTTGACTTAATTCAAAAGCTGCCAAGATAGGGTCTTCAGACGTCAAAATTAGGTAAGTAGGACTAGCCAGTGCCCTATAAGCATTCATGCGACTTATAGATTCTGTCAGAGTCTCTCCATCGTGGCATCTCTTTGAACAATATTCCCGGCATTGACCTAAAATCAAAACCGACTGAATATTAATAACAGCAGATTATAAGGCTTATGAAAATTGGGAATAATAATTTACACAAATTATTTCGGTCGTCTTGAAGGCAATTTCGTATTGACAAAAATTTTGGGATTTTTAAGCTACTACTCACAAATATCGATGAACACAACATTTTCATATTCCCCAAAGTGAGTTTATTATTTCAAGTTCCGTGGATAAATATTAAGGTCGTAAATAAATACCTCATTACATTAAACTTCATAAAAGGACAAGCCAGTCAAAAACAATTAGCCTTTGCTTATTGGTATTCAGACGAACTTTTGTAAACACATAATAGATACAATTGTTAATCATTTAAAAATATGCATTTAAATTATAGTAAAAAAAATCTGTTTCGTTGATTATAAAAACACCAGTCGTCCGAAGCAAATATGTAATATTCAAGATGTAAGTTTAATAAGTTTTCTTAATGTTTGCTCTTCATCCGATATGATTAATGACTTAAATAGCTGTTTAAATTCTGTACAACATTTCGACCAACAACGGCCAAGCGGTAAAACCGCTCAGCACTGGTAGTTTAACCTTGGTTTGAGTCCCAAGGAATGGACTGGCTCAATGGCAGTTTTCGTAGTTTTTACCCCGTATTTAGCGTTAGTACGAGCCAGTTTCTCTTGTGGCGTCGTCCACAAAGACATCCCTTCCCCATGACAGATAATCTTCATATGTTTGCGATAATAAAAAACAAAACAAACCTATACTAAAATTGTACTTAAGAAGCATTTTTAATAAACTCTTTTAATGCAGAAAGCTATTCTTTCGGAAGTTTTGTCTGGCTATAATAAAGTGACCCTGCTCTATCATGTAATACCGACTAGAGACCCTTAGAGGTAAATTTTAAAGGTTAGAGGACTTATCGCGATAACTAAAAAAGTAGCAAAATAACCTTCTTCGCACATCTGGTAGATCGCTACCAGTTTAGCCTGATATGGTGCTCTACATACTCCAACAGCTTGAACACAGATTCTGAAATGCAGATTCTCTCAGTATCCTATCACAAGTATAAATACATCTCTAATTACCTGTATTACATTATAAAGCGCAAATAATCTTACTAATAAAACTAATCGGTGTCAATATAGCGCAGATCATCATAATAAGCCAAGTATATAGCAGTAACTCATTATAAAGAAGATAAACACAAATTATAATCAGTACCGACAGTTAAGCATGCTTGTTGTGTCCCCCATCGACCGTAATATACATCTATAATCCAGTTATTAACTCCTTGATGGATGTTCCGCTGCGTTTCAGAGTTTCACAAGTTACTGCATGCTTGGATAATACGGATTCGCAGAAAGTTAACATACCGGGATAGCAAGTTGTTTACCTTATCGTACACGTACCTTGCAAAAAGTCGAATTAGGTTAGGCCAGGTGGCCTCGGTGTCCGCTTTACATTATTCCAATTACCGGTGATCGTGCACCCAAAATTATTCGACAAGAAGTTTCGCACTGATACTAGCTAATAATACGAGTATGGTGGAAGTCGTCATGACCACTGAAAACGCTAATAAATTAAAGGGCAATTTATATAAAAATCAGACACTTGGTTTCCAGTAATTTCAAGTACCTTCGTCCATTTAAGGCTCTGTCAAAGAATACGGGGGTAAGTGGTCGAAATCCAGGGACACGTACTGAGGAACCACTGAACCTGATAAACGTCTTCCATGATGGGTTTCCAAATAGGGCGATTTGCGTTGGTTTAAATTCCCACTACGATCAAATTTTGCCTCTTCCATCCATAAAATGTTAGCCTGAAAACCGACTGTATATCCACTATATGCATCACGAACTTGTACCAGCCGTATAATCCCTAGTAATCGTTTAGCGGTAAGCCTCGCGTTAATGCTGCACAGTACAGTGAGCTCGCAATTCGTAAAAATTCGCCGTACATGACAAAATATACAGCCAGATGCAGCACTTAATGTCTCAATTACTGCAGTTTTGGGGGCTAGCGCATAGGCCAGGACGTACACTGTCTATAAGAGCATATGTTAAAGAGTCTGCTTGCCTGAACAGATACAATTTTTAATCCTCTCTTTTCCCTCTAAATGCCATTTCTTTCAATGTGGCTGGTGTTAATAGCACAAAGGGAATGATAACGATTTCGGAAACATAATGCAGGCTTCCTCTCTTGCCCGACAACCGCATTTCCCGTACAAGAATATCTCGCTGTACTCTTTGGAATAAGTACCCATGTTTAGATAAAAAGATCCATTCCACCTTTTTGTCTGACAAAACCTTCCCGGCTTGCCATTTTATACTCCTCGACGTAGCGTTCGATTTGCAGACTATCAACCAGACTATCAACCATCGGTCTGCTTCGGACTGCTTCGGAGACAGATTTCATTTAAAGATTTTACATGCTGCGAAACCATTGATAACATATTTATGCCAGTCATCAGATTCCTAGGATCTGTATTTCAGGACTTCGTTTTTTTCTTTTTCTATTCTTTTATCTATTTTTATTGGTGTATATAAGGTGTCATTACATAGTAAATTTGTAATGCTGTACAAGTTTTCTAGTCACTTTATTCGCTCTCTTGAAAAAGTTTCTCGAAATGACTGGAAAATTACAGATTTAATAATTCATACATTCAGTTTTATCGGAGACTCCTAAGTGCATTATCGAACTTTCTGAAATGTGAAATTTAGATTATGTATTTGGAAAAAAATGTCCATTTATGCATAAACCGGAAGCCACTAATGATGGAAGAAAGGTGGAGAGTACAGCCTTCTAAAAAAATCTTGAGCGTCATGTTCGAATAGGAGGATAAGGACTTCACCATGAGACAACCATCTTATTTTTGCATGAAGGAACTGGGTAGAATGAAATTTCAACGTCTCCTCACGCAGCGCTTGGAAAATATCAGTTTATCGGCTGTGGTAATTTAACAGAATCTTCAGGTATATGAGACTTAATTCACTAGATATCTGCTTAGATGTTAGAATATGCTCGTGAACACAGCAGATTATGAACATTTCAGATTACATTGGAAGTTATATTCATAATCAAAGTAAAACCAAATTCAAAGTAAAACTCTGACACAGATTTCTCTTATTAGTGCATAATCAAAAAACAAGAATTGGAGGGATTATTTTTTTTTCAAAATAATCAATAGCATTAAATATAACCTTACTTCGTGTACAAAGAACGACAAAGTGAACTATATTCTTCAGTTTTTTATTACCTCCAAAATACCTTGCAGAACCAGCAAAACTGAAAAATAGCTGCATTTGTATTTTAGTCTACATTCAAACAAAGAAATTAACCATTTTTAATCTCACCTGCTACACTCCCTAAAGATCGTCAATCATATCCAGAATTCTTCAAAGATATAGTTCTATTAGAAAGGGATAGTGTTTATTTTCTTCAATTTTCTCGCACACATACATCAGCAACTTTTATTTATAAAATTAAATTCTTAGTTACAGTAGTATTTGGGTGTATCAGTTTATGACAAAGTTCACTAACCTCAGGACCTAAGGTAAGAGACGCGTTTATAAGGAAACCTGTTTCGTTTTCACATTACATATGGGAATAACCACAGAAACATCTATGCAGCCAGCTCGTTCGCTGTAGATTTAAACACAGGTCGAGCTACCAATTTTCAGCGGTCTTATCCACTTAGTCGTTAGTGGACTTTTTAGTTCGGAAGTAGAACTATTTCCAGAACTAATTGGCGAAAATATAATTTTCCGAGGGGAATTTATAAAAACTAAACCATACTTTGAAACTAAAGTCTATACTGTTGCAATCTGGCTTTAAAAAAGTTAATCTAGCAGCACTGCTCAACATACATTTTAAGAGTGACCTGCCACTATTCACTGAAATAAGAAAGCCAGGAAACAGGACTTCTCTCAAAGTTAATACTAGAAATACTTATCACTAATGTAACTTTCTATCAAAGGAAAAAACATTCATTTCGACTAGGAAAGTACTGCTGCTGTTAAATAATAAATAAAAAAAACTCCAACTGGCTACATGGCATTCAAATGGTTTCAAGCTTTTGTCTTATTTGCCTTCTACGAGTTGATAACTTATTAATCTACGAAAACTGATGATCATTCTACAGATTTAATAGTTGATTACATCAAAGTATTTGTTTATATGACTCAATAGAGTTGTTTTCCTAGAGAAGAATCTGAGGAAAACTGTCTCACTTTCATCGGAAAAACAACCGAAGAATGCTATGGAACTGAAAACGTTAATTATCCTTACTCTGCCTTACCTCGATTACGAGATACTAAGATTAAGTAACCCTTCTACACCCGGATGGAGAGCCTTTTTGCCAAAGAAGAATACTTTCTTGAAAGATTAAATAACGTACACCCCGGATGGACAACGCTCGCACTGTCAGAAGAGAAAATGCTTTCGAATGGTTTGTAATATCCCGATTATCTCGGAGCGCAACAATGCAGATGTTGCGCTCCGAGATAATCGGGATATTACAAACCATTCGAAAAGAGGAATACTGCAAAATATATCCATTCTGAGTAGACTCTGTGACCCAATGTGCTACCCTTTGCTTTTTCCAAGTAGGGAATCAAGATGGAACCACAGATCTGAAAAACTCTGTTGGTTAAAAGCGGTTGGTAGCTGCTAATGTTTAAGAGGCATAACTTAAAAACTAAAAAAGTGTAAATTACATTTGTAAGGCATAATTGAAAGAAGTAAATACAAAGGCGCTCAAATGCTTATTATCAATACAAAATGCACAATCTATCTACAGAAAGTGACGCGGTATACTAGCGTTTACCTTCGAGACCCCCTTCAAGTGAGCTCCAAGACATTCTTACTCCCGGATGACGAGCATTCATTGGCTTCTCCATGAGTGCACCCCATCATCACCTCTTTCCTCTCAACCACTCTTCCCCTTCCCCCATCATTGCAACGCCCTGAACCGATAACACACTTCACCTACAGAGCTATATTATAGATTTCTTCAGTAACGATTTTCTACTCGCCCTTTCAAGAGCTTAGTTAAAAATTTAATTTTATTTCCCACACGCCAGAAGAAACAAAGTTCAGCTGTTGGAAGGGATTTCCATCAGCATTCAGGTATTATTTTTCTTAAAACTGCCCAAGGATATGCGCCACTTTTACCCTGAACCTCTCACATTTATGCATGGAAATAATAATTTTATATTTGGAAAGAAAACAAAAATCCACTTACACTTAGGGCTGTGTGGCTTTTGTATGCAATAGCCTTTTTCCAGAAGAATTCTAGTTGTTTCAACGTTTCCCTTTATTGAGGCAGCCATGGTTGGTGTCATATTAGTCGCTACAACTTCAGGAAGGCACTTTGTACATTCTGAACCACCAGTAATAAGCTCTTTCAAGTGGCTATGCAGTCTGTTATCCTCTTCAGCTCTAAATTTTGAAATGAAAAATATTAAATAGCTACAGAAACAAAATTTACAAGAAAGAATGTACTAAACATTGCGAACATAAATTTTAAGCCATCTACATCTGGTTTCCAAAAGTTAAACAACAAACTGAAAAAATGCAATAAATCAGTTAAAAGTAGTTCAAAATTCTTGAAATTTTCATACGTTACAAATAAAAGCAAGCTGCATCGCGCAGCATTATGCTAAAGAGTGGCGTTGCCATCGCCTTATGACATAGCTTGAACGTAATTATGCTTTACGTAAATATGACATAGCTTGAACCCAGCTGGAATCGCTGTTCAACGAAAGACAGCATGTTAAATAATACTGAGATAGCCAAAATGTAAAAATAAGTTCGAAGAATCATTTGACAGCAGAACTGCGTTGTAGAACCATAGGCCGATTAGAAGCAGGTCAACGATAGTTTAGCGTTGCAAGACGACTAAATATCGACCATTCCGTTGTAAACCGGTCATGGAACCAGGTTCTAACTACTGTTACAGCCTCTCGAAGGCCTGCCGAAGAAAGGCCGAAAGCTACCACTTCTGCAAATGACCGCTATTTGCGATTTAATGGACGCCGCAGCAGGCCTGTAACTCCATTATCAGCTTAGATCTTCGCTGATTTCTGCTACAGGTAGGACGGTATCAGCCACAACTGTACCAACACCTTCTTAAACTTAACATTGGGTCCTTTAAGAAGGTGTTGACTGTACGCAGAAGGTTGCATGAACCTGGTCTGTATGCTAGGCGATCGGCATTGTGTGTCTCTCTTACCTCCCGTTATCGGAGGAAGCGTTTAAATTGGGTCTTGTAAACTGTCATGAATTAGTGATATAAACTGGTATGAAAATCTGTAACGTCTGCTCTATTCTCTGGTGAGTCTTGCTTTGCTTTATAGAATGATCCCCGACGTGTTTCAATTTGGAAAAAAGTAAACACTCGATATCGTCCTTCTAAACATACGAGAAAGGGATACTTATGGATGCCTATGCAGGAGGTAGTGTCCTTGTATGGGGAGGATTATCTTTAGGTGACCTCTATGTGATATAAAATAAAGCTCTGAATACTCAGAGGTATATACTGTATTCTATTATTCTTTCATATGCTACCGCAAACGGCGATACTTCATTCTGCAAACGGATAATGTATGTCCTGTTCACACTGCTCAGCTCGAGCACCAATTTCTTTAAGAATCTATGGTCCAGATATAATGGCCAGCACGTTTTCCCGACCCTACATTGAGCATGTATAGAACGCTTTTGAAAGGTGTGTTGCTGGTTACCCATGCAGCTCATTGACATCATATAAACAGCATGAAACATCGCTGTCAGACTTGTATCGCTGTTTGGCTGTTTGCCATACTCGTTACTGAGAAGAATTGTTTTATTATATTTTCTTTAATTTGTTTCCTGAATTTGGGAGATTTTATATTCCTGTTGATATCACAAAATTTAAATAATCAGTATAACGTTTTCTTGTATTTTTGAGTTAGAAGTGGTATCTAATCTAATCTAAGAAAATAAGCCGTACCGCCAAAATTGGCACAACCGGCAATTTAAAAGAAAACAAACTGAAAGATAACTGGATAAACACTACAACAGAATAAGGACTACTTATCCAAAAACTCATCCTCCGCTGGAGATGTGTCGGCGCCGCCAATGGGTCATCTCGACCTTCATTCAGAATAGAAACCACCTATTTCTTAACATAAAATGACTAAATTGAACTCAAGACAACTTCTAACCTAAACAACAATTATAAAATACAAATATTGCCTAGCTTAACGAATAATAAGCATTTACATTTTTCAGTAAATTATACATTGTATGTATACAAATTACATTATAATTTATGCAATTCAACTCAAAAATTTAAGCAATTAAACAAAAGGATCGAAATATACATAATTATTCAAATTGGTAATAATTTTTATAAGTCCTAATTTAGCTTTATTATTGCTATATAGATATTTTTCATTATTTATAGATATATTTCGAAAACATTCTCCTCTAATTTCCTTCGTTAAGGCACAGTCCCAAATGTAACGTCCATTAGATGCTCCAGATGCATCCTGACCACATCGGCAATGAATATCTTTCCCATGAAACCTAGAAGTGGTATAATAATATTATCAAAAAGTTCCGTAAACTTGCAGACTTTTTAAGTTATCATCAGTTTTCCGTTTGTTGCTTAATATTTGGAAACCAGTGTATTTCTTCGTACCGGGAACACTTACCTGTCTAAGAGCATTTCAAGAATGATAGCATCGTTTTCGAAAACAGCACGGAGGATGGCACAATAGTAATGTATCGTTGTGACAGCGAGATTATCCAAGAGGAATATCACTAATTCAACATCTCGATTACTCACAGCAATGTCCAACGCACGCTGCCCTCGGTAATCACAACAGTCAGTATTTATGGTATGGGACTGAAATTAAAATGAAACTCAAAGTAATAAAAAGTGCAAATGCAATGAAAATATAATAATAGTGCAAGAAATTCATGCAAAGGCTAAGATATTTGCTTTGATACAGCGAAGTGATCACATCAATTTAGCATTATGATTTTTGTTAATTTACGGAAAGGCAGTTTCATATTTTAATAAAAACAAAATTTAAATAACATTTGGTACCAGTGTCGGGTGCTAAGAATAGCATTAATTCTTGTTTAATCTGAAATTATAAAGGTATTTCAAGCGCATCTTACGAATGCCGAACATTACGTGCCGTCGTGGATTAATAAGAATTTAGCTACGGTTCGACGCCGGAACTTTGGGATTTTTCAAAAAGTTTCCTTCTTTATTCCGAGGGAGCGCAACATGTTCCTCCATGCATGATGTGAAAGTTCCGAGAAAGTGATGTTTCGAAAGGTGAAACGATTTAACCATGACGTGAGATTCAGGACGTCACGCAAGTTGATTGCTTTTTTTGTTGACCAAACTCTTGGCTAAAACTATGCATGCTTAAAGCCATTATTAATTTTTGAGTGCTAAAATGGCTATCTACGTAACAATAAAAGCTGTAACAGAAAATACACTTTTATTTACAAACTGAGTTTTGACTTTGATGACACACGTTTTTAAGTCATCAGGATCAAATTAAACAGTGCACTTTTAGAAAACAGTGGATACTTGCGGTAATGTTATCACCACATTTATTTCTGACAGTTTCAATCATGCTAATATATTATAAGGAATACATTCAATCCCATTTCTCACCTAATATGAAGGCATATGGTAAATAACGATGGTTTAGAGGAAGCTGATTAAGTGTAATGAAAGTAAAGAAAATTTCATTTTCTTTACTTTTCTAAATAAAAGACTACAAATCCTGCTTGTTTTTATTAGTACAGAAGACAGGGAAATTTTATTCGCAGTTACTAAATAATGTCTGAAAACGTCTTCCCAAATTCAGAAATCGAAACCGGCTGAGGTCGGTTGTAATAATTTCAAGTTGTTAAACAAATTTGTCTCCCTTCACGATGCAAACGAACAACGCTGATATGATGCAAGTTTTTCCACAGAAGGTTCCTCCACGAAGGCATCCCTACCTTTACAATCGTATTCTTTGCCATATTCAAACAACATAACTTGCTTTATCATCAACCAATAAGTAAACTTACAATTTAATGAAGGCTTCCCAAATAAATTCTAAACACATTATTTCCAGATTTTATTTCAAATAACCATCAAACCCTTTTCTTAATATTAAAATTTCTCTTCTAGAAAGCGAAAATAAAAAAAACTACTGGAACAGAAGCAACACTGGTCAACATTGGCCTTTCAGAGAAAACAACAGCGATTCTTAAATTTTTGTGCACTGATTTCGAATATGAAGTCACAATTAAACCATCAAAATTCTTATATTTTGTTAGATTCCTTCCGATGCTAATTTTCTACATCAGGATCTGCCCTTTTTATATCCGATATATAATTGTGTCCAGTTATTTAAGCTTGTATGATCAAGTGCGTAACCTCAGTTTGTCAAAATGTTAGTTAGCATAACAAAATTAAAATCGATGGAATCTACTCGAAAAGGAGCTGAAATGTGTAAGTTGCGCCAGAGGCAGCAAGAGCTTTTGCTTTTAATTTGCAAGTATATTATGTCGCATAAGAATCTTCTTCTTCATGACATCTTCTCCGTAGAAAAGTTCTCGGATATGTAAAATAAACAAATTGTAGTTCTGAATTATTTGATAAAATATTCGACATCTCAAAAATCTGCATCTCAATACTGACATGATAAAAGGAATTTAGAAAATTTTCGCTTTTCATTTCACTCTTTAGTTCATAGTTTCTGAGCAAAGCCAACCAAGTTATAAGGCAAATTGTCAGTTCGTATATTCTTTTTTGAAGAGCACTGCAATATCCATAAATCTGGTTAGGTTAGGTTATTTAATTATGGCAAAGCCTCGAGGGCTATCTGCCTAAAGGGAGGGATGCCTTCGTGGAGGAATTTCTAAGGGAAACTGGCTCATATACACGTTACACATGGAAAAAACCACGAAAACACCCATGCAGCCAGCCCGTTCGCGGGATTCGAACTTCGGACCGAACTACCAGTGTTCAGCAACGTTACCGCTCGGCCGCTGGTATGCGCCCATAAATCTGAAATTCATGATTATGTTGGTAATTGGCAGCAATAATAGTAGCTCCCTTTGGGCTCTAAAAATTGAAAAACAAAAGGTCCCCCCCCCGCCGTAAAAATTACAAAGATAAAAATTGAATGACTCATTTGGAAAAAAAATTATAATACTTATTTTAAAAACAAAAGGGCTATTATAAGTGAAATGCATTTAATTAACGGTGGCCAATAGCCAAAGCTAGCAAGCATATCTTTCTGTAAAAATTGTTTGCCGCATGTTGTCCTGTAACGGAAACCTGTAACGGTACTGTAACGGAAAATTATTTCTTTATACACATATCAAATCGGTCTAAAACTAATTTTATTAAAAACAGTTAATTATTAGAAAAGTTAATAATTTATTCAGATTCCTGCGAGATCTCCTTTAAATGACACTGAAAAAGATTACACCCATTTATTTCACAGGTGACTGCTTCCGTTTGAACTAAAATCCGCTGTTCGTACTTCAAGCAGAAAAGGAATTGTAAGATTCTCTGAAACTACGCAATAAGAAACATCGGAATAGTAAAAGCAATCGTAATTCCTATTTTACATAACGTATAGCGCAAGGCTTTCAAGAAATGATAATCTATTCAATGTAATGTTATAAATAATTAAAACACATCCCTCATTTAGTGTTTAAGATTTCAAGATTTTTCCATTTTTCGAGAAAAGAAATTTTATTATGCATTTCTAGTGAAATGTATCATAATACACAATTAAATTTGGTTTATTGTATTGCAAGTAAATATTTAAAGTCAGACATCAGAATGTCACTACTTATTGTCAAACAAAAGGAAAAAAACATAAAAATACCATAACCAATTGCGAAAGTACATTAAAATTCTGTGTTCGTTAAGGTAACCAACCACTCTTCCCATTACTGTATTCGTATTTAAATGTTTTTCGTAAGCTGTTATGGGTAACGTTTGCAGTAAAATAAAATGAATCAGAATTATTCTCTAGAAGTTTTTATTAGATTAAACCATACAATGGGAATTAAAATTCATACAAAAGCAAAGTAATTGATATGATTGGTCTGCTCTATTCGATTATAGCAAAACACTCGAGGTCTATCTGCCTAACAGAGGGGATACTTTCGTGGAGGACTTTCTAAGGGTTTGGTTTAGTAGATTATGGTAAAGCACACTACAGCTATCTGCTTAATGGAAGGGATGCGTTCTTGGAGGACTTTCTAAGAGAAGTTGGTTCGTATACACGTTACACATGCGGAAACTCATGCACCCAGCCCGTTCGCCAGGATTTGAACTCCGCACAGAACTACCAGTGTTCAGCAGCTTTACCACTCGGCCGTTGGTGGGCTCTAATTGATATGAAAATAATGATCATTTAAACACCATTTGTTTGTTTAGTTGAATGAACACCAGATAGCGATCTACAACAGAGAAGGTGTATGGTGTATTTAATTATGGAAAAGTACACTAGGGCTATCTGCCTAAGGGGAGGGATGCCTTTGTGAAGGACTTTCTAAGTGAAACTGGCTCGTATACACGTTACACATGGGGAAAAACTACGAAAACACCCATGCAGCCAGCCCGTTCGCGGGATTCGAACCTCGGACCGAACTAACAGTGTTCAGCGACTTTACAGCTCGGCCGCTGGTGGGCCCAACAGAGAAGGAATGCCTTCCTAGAGCACTTCCTAAAAGAAATCATTTCATATTTAACGTTACACATGTGGAATCACGAAAATACTAGTGCAACCAGAGCTTTCGCTGCGATTCAAGCACGGGTCTAACTGCAAATATACAGCGGTCTTGTCAAAGCGGTCATTGGTAAGCCAACATCTCATTTCAATTGAAGCGAAAACTGTGGAAATTCAGAATTGGATAATTAAATACGATGCGATGGGAAAAAAATTATATTATAGCATTCAAGAAAAATAAGCTTAAAATTTATGTTTTTAATTGAGATTTCGTCTATCTGCTATTAAAAACCAAAACAACAATCACCCCGGATGCCTAGCTAACTCAGAATTGTTTCCACGTGCCACAAGCTAATTTATAATACTTCTCAGAACAACAAATTTAGAGGTTTTAAAACAATATACCTAGTGTTTAATACTTTCACCTTTATTTTAATAACACATCTAATAGCCGATTTTTTTTTAAAAAAATATGCTACTAATACAGTTAATAAAAGACATTTGTAATGCCATGCGTTTCATTTGATAGTTCAGCAACAGAATAATCATTTAGGTTGACGTCCAGTAACGAGTTTGCTGCACTTTCGTTTTACTGCTATCATTACATTCAACAGGAAAAAAAAATTAAAAGGAGAGATAATGAATTTTTCAATTTTTTATATGAGAAATAGGGGGGAAATCAGGTTTCTCGATTTTAGATTACTCTAAAAATTTACAAGCAATGAGAACATGAAATATTTGCTTTTTCTTAAGGAATTCTTGAGAAGAAACAATTTGGTTTTAAAATTTAATACGTGACAAATTAAGCGCGATTAAATATTTAACATACTGTACAGGAAAAAACAGCCGACTCCTGTATAACCATATACTATATAATTAGGGTATTATAGACGCATTTAATTGTTTTGGGATACATTGATACGACAGAAGACGTTCTAAAATAACAGTCCAGTTGAAGAAATCAATGCAGTACGTTATTAGAGTTTAAAAATAAATTTGAACCCATAAATCGTTATAACAACCATCATTAATGCTGTAATATATTTTGATAAAAAGTTTTAGGATGCTGAGTTTGAAAACTCATTCCATAATTACTCAGAGCTTTCTTCCTTGAGAAATTTACTATTTTGAAGCTTTTCTT